CCGGCATTTTCTTCTTTATATGCAATCAGCTGTGATTGGACGCAGAGGACTACATGATAGAGCTGATGACTTTGGCTCTATCAGCTCTTTACTCTGATCGGTGATCCACTGTGTTCCAGGGACACAACGCACCACCGATCGCCTCGCTGAGCCCCCAGAGGCACGCATGCGCAGTTAGAGTGGGAGGACGTCATATGTGACGTCCTCCCAGAACAAGAGAACCGCCGCCTGTGATGATCGCAACGTCAGACCCCAGACCTTCTCACCAAACTCGTGACGGAAGGGCTAGCCAATGTAAAACTGCAATGTCATGTGAGCAACAATACCACCCAGCACAACGATTTTCCAGCTCACTGGACCACAAATCGATGTACCGGCAAGCCTGAGCTTGATTGTTACTGGGTCAGGTTAATTACGCAATTAGCCCTTCACACTGCCACCACCTCCTTTTTGTACAGAGAAAGCGGAAACTCGGCAATATCAGCAATAACACTAGGATGATTAGATAATTGGCTGTATACCACTGTCACCGCAGACAGGTTATACAGAGGGTTAAAACACACATAGTAGCCCTCTTCAGCGGAAGGAATTCGTACGTTGCATTAAGGAGCTTTAGAAACAGTTCAACACTTTCAGAAAGTAAGATTTATTACTAAAAAAAAAAAAAAGGTCAAAAGGGTGCAAAAAAATATTTACAGAAAAAAAGATGTAACCAATATACATATAAATACAGAGAGCAATAACACAGCAAAAAGGTAACAGAAAGAAGTTTAGAGAGGTAGAGTACTGGCCAAAAGTCCTGGGTTAAGCAGATCAAGTTTCAGAGCAAAAAGGGCACCGTCTCCCAAGTTGGTTCTGATGTTAAAAAGGGAGATTTCTTCAACTTCCACTTAGGCCCGACAGCCCATTTTGTAGTCCCCCAGCAGGGGGTGTCTCTGAAGCCAAGGACCAATGCCTCATTTGGGGAGGGGGTGTCTAGGCGGAGACCCAAGCTAAAACCAAAATCTCTCCTAGCTTATATTTTGGCTCATAACGTTTCCTAAGCACAAGTAACATTCCACCCGCAGGTAGATTAATAAGCAGACGCATCTGCGGAATGGTTAGATATGAAATACATACTTGAATGGTTCAAGAGATGTAATTTTCTGCTGTCCTATATATTCCAGCCAAGGAGTGTGACATATCAAACGGTTTGTCTTACTGAGACCAATCTGAAGATATGCCTGGTTTTTATGCAAGTCTCTCATATTCCAAGATACGAGACAGAGGAAAAATGGATTTTAAAAGTGGTATCTAGTTTATGACTCCTCTGGAATGTCTTTGAACTCAGGGGAAGGCTTGAGTTATCCTTTTATGAGGTGCCAGATTGCACAGTTTCTTAGACAGCCCAGCACAGAGAGGTTTTATAGCTCGGAGCTCCTTGCTGTGCTCTGGCCTGTCTGTGACACTTCCAACACACATCGACCACATGTCACTGTGGATCTCAAGAGAGGGAGGGGGATGAGGAAAGATACATTTGTACAAGATGGATGATCCTTTGCCAAGATGGAGGTTGGAGCAAAATGGTTGAACCGCGTCCATTTCTGTGTGCACGATTGCTACACTGCCCACCCGTCATTTCCTTATATGGCGGGCGGCGGTTAAAGGTTAATTTCCCAATATCTGTGGCTTTTTAAATTTCAGTTTGTGTATATATAGTCAATGAGTATGTTAGCTCTCATGTGGATGCACTGAGCAAGATAGATACTGAGCCACAGGTAGCAGAAAAGAACTGCCAAAAGACTTGCGTAACAGGTAATGGAATGGAATAAGGTGGAAAGGGATATAAAACGATATCCAAAGCTTTGAATATGCCAGTCAGTACTGTTCAATTACTTATTGAAAAGTGGAAAATTTGGGGATCTCTGGATATCAAGCAAGGTCAAGTAGACCAAGAAAGATTGCAGCCACAACTGCCAGAAGAATTGTTGGGGATACAAAAGAAAAACTCACAAGTAACCTCAGGAGAAATACAGGCTGCTTTGGAAAAAGATGGCATGGGTGTTTCAAGGAGCACAATATGAAGTTAAACAAAACGGAGCTGCACGGTCAAGTTGCCTGAAAGAAGCCTTTACTGCGCCAATGCCCGAAAAAAATAAACCCGGTTACTATATGCCCGACAACACCTTGACAAGCCTCACAGCTTCTGGTACACTGTAATCTGGAGTGACGAGACCAAAATAGAGATTTATGGTCACAACCATAACTGCTACGTTTAGAGAGGGGTCAACAAGTCTTATAGCAACAAGAGTACCATCCCCACTGTGATGCATGGTGGTGGCTCACTGATGTTTTGTGGGGGATGCGAGCTCTAAAGGCACCAGGAATCTTGTGGAAAGTGATGGCAAGATGAATGCAGTGTATTACCAGAAAATACTGGCACCCAATTTGATTTCTTCTGCATAAAAGCTTTGCACAGGATGCTCGTGGACTTTCCAGAATGACAATGACCCTAAGCACAAGGCCAAGTTGACCCTACATTGGTTACAGAAGAAAAAGGTGAAGATTCTGGAGTGGCCATCACAGTCTCCTGACCTGAATATCATTTAGCCACTCTATCGAGATCTCTAGCATGCAGTTCATGCAAGACAACCAAAGACTTTGCATGACCTGGAGGCATTTTGCCAAGATGAATGAGCTGGTATACCATCTGCAAGAATTTGTGGCTTCATAGACAACTATTACAAAAGACTGCACACGGTCATTGATGCTAAACAGGGCAATACTCAGTATTAAGAACTAAGGGTATGCAGATTTTGAAGCTCCACGACCAGGACCCTCCTGTTCCTTCTCTACTGAAATGTATTGTAATTGTACTGTCTCCCTTATATTGTAAAGCGCTGCGCAAACTGGCGCTATGTAAATCCTGTATAATAATAATAATAATAAATCATAATAGGGGTCATTTCATTTGTTTACTTGCCGCTATGTTTTGTTTTATGCTTGTGCCATTCTTTTCTGACCTACAGTTGAATATGAATCCCATAAGAAATTTAACCACCTCCCTTCCGGCCGTTGTATATAAATGGCCGGACAGTGGCAGTGCAGGGTCGGGTGGCTGTCTATAAACGGCCTCTCCGCACCCTGCTTGTGCGCGCTCCCTGGGAGCGTGCAGCACCGCGATCCGGTGCCCGCTGTGTCCTCGGACACAGTCGAACACCGATCGTCTGACGGGACCTCTGTACGAGGTCCCGATGATGTGATCACCGATTGGCCAATCAGTGATCACATGCAGAGTAGTAAGCAAGATGTCACCTGTGACATCATTGCTTACTATGTGTGAAATCTGTGAATGATCACAGAGGTCACATGGTACAAGGCTATTCACAACAGCCTTGTACCATGTGACAAACTGTGACCAATCACGGCTCACTCAGTAGTTCTCAATGGCTGCAAGAATGCAGCTAGAGAGAAGGAGAAATGATTGCTTTTTCAGCCTTTATGGGTGTAAAAGCAATCAGTGTAAAAAAAAAAAAAAAAAATCTTCATCACCCCCCACAAGTAGTACAGTGTCACCATGGTGACACTGTACTGCTAGGGTGATAGTATGTAAAAAAAAAAAAAGTTTAAAAATTATAAATTTTTGGTTATAAACTAATTTGGGTTATTTTTTTTTTTTTTTTTACTAAAAATATAACGGATTAAATTTTGGCTAAGATTTATGATGAAATACTATTTTCTTTGCAAAATTTTATAAGAAAAACACTTTGTTTCAAAATTTGTACTTTCATTTACATAGCAAAAAAAAAGAAAAAAAAATCCCAATGGGGAATAAATACCACCAAAATAAAGCTTTATCTGTCTAAAAAAAAATGCTAACAAAATTCATATGGGTACAGTGTTGCATGACCACGCAATTGTCATTCAAAGTGTGATAGCATTGAAAGCTGGAAATTGCCCTGGACAGGAAGGGGGTAAAAGTGTCCAGACTGGAAGTGGTAAAAAAAAAAAAAAAAAAAAAAAAAAAAAAAAAAAAAAAAAAGTGTTTTGCCTGCTCACTCATGTTTTCTTTAAAAAATTGTAGATTAGCAATTGTCCAAGGTTATGCAAACTTTTGAGCAACTGTATTTTGTCACTTGGTTTATTGTTTCCATATATCTTCATTATTGCTGCGTATTCTGTTTGCTGATGTTGGATGGGTTTTTGTTTCATTATTAATAAATCCTACGTTAGTCATAAACAGTCTGGTTTCAGTTTCCCAAGTACAGCTACACTGAACTAGACACCCTGCTGTTGCTGAATACCTGCACTCAGTATCTGTTACAGTAGAGTAATGAGCTCTCCTGCTGGCAAAGAAGGTGATGTCAGCTTCAAGTCCTGTATTAGTCTGTAGGGCTGATTCAGGAAGTTTTTCAGGACAAAGAAAACAGCAGATATCAGAACAGAAACCATGAGCTTTACTGAGCTAGGAAGCAGGCCAGAATAATGTAAACAGACTGTACTTCTGACAATTTTTAACACAACTTCCCGGTGCAGCTGTTGGATTTTACTGTAAGAATTTCCACATATTCTTACAATGTGCAAAATTTGCTATCTGTAATAAAAAAAACTGTTTATAAAAAATTAGCTTAACTGTCCAGCCTGTGCCCTCCTCATGTCATGTACAGTTTTCATTACAGAACCGTGAAAACTTTGCCCACAAATTACGACCCCAGCAATAGATCCTAATTGTGATCACAAGTGTGTAACTAGCTTTTCCAAAAGGGTCTCTGGAGAAAAAGCCATACATTCACAGTATGCCATGGCCTGCTGGCTCAGTGGACAGGATGGGTGAACTGCCCAAACCAGTGTAGGCTGCATTTCTTACAGGAGGTTGCTCTCGGAGGTCTATAATGGGTACTACTGCATGCATGAGATACAGTTAGGCTAATATATTTTATAAAATGTTTTCTTAATCCTTAACACAAGGCTTAGAACTATGATAAATGTCAAATATAATGAATGAAAAAAAAAATTCTGACCTCCAACAAACAATTCAATTCCACCAGCAGCTTTAATTTTTTCTTCAAATAAATTGCACTCAGCTTGCAGGTCTGGAACATTTCCATCCAGGATGTGTGCATTCTCTGCTGCAATGTCTATGTGCTTGAAAAAGTTATTCCACATAAAAGAATGATAGCTCTCTGGGTGTTCTCTGGGGAGTCCTATGAAAAGTGACAGAATTATGGTTAAGCTGGGTCATTATAGCAATACATAGATACAGAAGAACCATATTCACTGGTTATCACATGATCGTCAGAGTTGTCTAGGTAGTTCCTTCAATTAGGTTGTTTGCTTTAGTATTCTACAGTCTTATTGCTTATATATATTCACTAGCTATGGCATTCCAGATGTCACACAAAATGTTATAGCAGACTGGATACAAGATCTGATTGGAAGAGATTTATTGGTCTACAGTTTTCTATCCCGATTATATTTCCAGATGTTTCGATGAGTCAATGTGTAATGCAAAACCAACCTCCACTGGCAATAGTATTTATATTATACTTCTATATCACATCAAAGTTTTTTTTTCATACAGTGTCTTACAGCTGGCAATGAGCTATCAGATGGGGCCATGTTCCAATTCAGCTAAAAGTCTAATATTCCTATCACAGTCAATTACACACTCCCCTTAAAGAGGAACTTCACTCCTTTCAGAAATTATTTTCTCAGCCTCTTACCTTGAACGTTGGGTTGTCCACAAAAAACACTCACCCATCCAGCTAATCCCAGAACTCTAGGTCCCGAGCAACCACCTTCTCATCTGATGTCATCAGGGTTCCAGCTGCTTGAGTTAGCCCCCTGATAATGCGCAGCTATGCACATGTGCAGCATAGCACACAGTTTCCCGAAGCCTCCTGGGATGTGTGAAGTCATTATCCTTGTGTGGGTGTGTGTGTGTGTGTGTGTGGGGGGGGGGGGGGGGGTGGGGGGGGGGGTTGTCATAGGCAATAAAAAGTAAGTGTGGGACCAGGCCCTGCAGAAAAGCCACCTAACTCATCAAAATAATTTTTACTGTTGTGTTGAGTAACGGGGGGAATAAGGGCAAGCAATATCAGAGGGTGAAGGTCAACTTTAATCTACTAGTATGTTTTTGGACTGTAGGAGGGTACCGAAGCATTAGGCAGATCAATGCACTTAAGCTACTTTCACACTGAGGAGTTTTTGAAGTGTTTTTGCGTTAAAAAAAAAGCGCATGAAAATCTCAATAAAAATTCTTCCCTATGTATGTGAATGTATATCGATGTATGTTTTTACACTGAGGCATTGTGATTGCAGTGCGGAGTTTTTGCAGCATCTTTGGGGCATGTTTGGTGAAAAAAAAAAAAAAAAAAAAGCTCCAGAAAACGAATCAATGGAAAACGCCTGAAAAACGCCTGTGTTTTTTTTTTTAAATGTTTTCGGAGCAGTTTTTAAGTCACATTTCCTTTAAAAACACTCAGAAAGCACGGCAAAAGCACTGTAAAAACACCTATGCGTTTTTGCGGCAGATCAGTGTGAACAAACCCTAGCTTGACGTATATATGTTCAGCCCCCTTTTTTTTTTTTTTTAGATGGGGGGGGGGGGGGGGAAGCAGAAGGATTACAACATCTGTCAGGTATAATAAATCTGCCAGAAGTTTGCATTGCTCATTGGTGCTAAAATCCAATGCGAAAAATATTTTCTGCTGGGAATTGCACTTTAGAACCAATTAGTGTTATTACTGTGGACTGTCATTTTCTAATGTGATATGTTTAGGGATATTACATCGGATAAGCCTGGCAGCACACCTTGGTTAGAGGTAGGCAAACACTTCAAAAAGTCCTCTTGCACAACCATGTAGAAATAAATATATGTTCTCTTGCACATGGTAAAGGTCAAATATAAATGAATATGACAGGATCATGAATTTTTTGTAGGATTAATAATGTATTTTGCATTGGGCAGAAGAAAAGCATCAGAAGGAGCGAGTCTCCAAAGTGGGGCAGTAACAGAGACAGGATGTATAGTACTGATATTTCACCTTTAGACTTCCAAAGTGGCATAAAAAGCCAGCAGACAACTTAGGCCTACCAGAGTACACATAAGGAAAACTGAGTCACAGATGACAATAAAACATGATATACTATAAATAAAATGTTTTAGCTGTAGTTGGGCTTTAATCCTTGAAGTTGAACGAAGGCATTATGTTTTCACTTTGGATAGAATAAGGGAGGGTTAGAACCTCTGTCAGGTTTATTTTTGTCATCTGTGTCCCAGTGTTGCTTTGCCTGTTGTCCCATAACCACAATAGAAAGTGAGTGGAAATCCCTCCAAAGTGAGGGAACTGCTGGTAGTCCCCAGAACTACACTCCCCATTGGAAGGTCTTCCCACTAACACTACTGAAAATTTTGGGGTTCTCTCTTTCACTTTCCGTGATAACAGTCACTAGGACAAATAGAGAGGGTGGATCTCATAGTTAGTAAGGTTGAATAAAGATACCAGTCCATCCAATTCAACCTGTGTGGGTGTGTGTTCATGTCAAAAATCCTATTCTATATCCTTGTATATTGTGTTCACCAAGATGCTCATCTAAGTGTTTTTATACACTATAAATACTTCTCACTAACACTACTGATTGTGGAAGCGAGTTCCACATCCTTATCGCCCTGACAGTGAAAAACCCCCTGCGCAGTTTAAGGTTAAACCTCTTCTCCTCCAATTTTATTGAGTGGCCCCGTATCTTCTAATACTCCTTAGGCTAGCATCACCATTGAGGTATTTGTATATTGCCATCATATCTCCTCTCAAGTGTCTTCTCTAGGGAAAATAAGCTTAATGTTTGTAGTCATTCCTCATAACGGAGGTCCTTCAACCCCCTTATCAAACTTTGTTGCCCTTCTCTGGACTCTCTCCAGCTCAAGCACATCCTTCCTGAGGACTGGTGACCAGAACTGGATAGCATACTCCAGATGTAGCCAAACAAGAGTTTTATAAAGTGGCGGGATTATAGTTTTATCTCTTGAGTAAATACCTTTTATATGCTTGCTATTCTGCTAGCTTTGCATGCTGCAACTTGGCACTGCATGCCATTGCTGAGTCTGTCATCTACTAGGACCTCCAGATCCTTTTCCATCCTGGATTCCCCCAGAGGTTCTCCCCCTAGTGAATAACTTGTGTTCATATTTTCTAGCCCTCTAAGTGCAATACTTTTCATTTTTCAACATTAAACCTCATTTGCCATGTAGTTGCCCACCCCTTTATTTTATTAAAACGGAGTTCCAGTCGCACTGTGAAAAAATTAAAAAGTCATCAATTAAAAAAAACTGCAGCTGCTGACTTTTACAAAACAGCCACTCACCTGTCCCGCGATACCCGCGGTGTCCTCCCCGCAGCCAGTTTCACCAGCCGCCTGGTGTTCAAGGCGCTGGCATCTTTCAGTGTGGGCACCTGGCTATGACAGCTTGCGGCTTCACAGCCGGGTACCCACTGTGCATGCGTGAGTAGCGCTGCGCTTCCTGAATGGTCACGGAGTCTTCTGGGACCCGTCACATGTCCCAGAAGACTACGGGGAGGGAAGGTAGGAGGACAAGTTCGGCTTTCCGATCGCCTAGCCGATCCAGTGGAAGTGGGAGCGGGTACCTTCCAATTTCGGGTACCCGCTCTCAAAGGTGCCAATCCTTAATGGGGAGCGAGGGACCAGTCTTTAAAGCAGAACTTCTCCTTTTGGGTAGAGCTCCGCTTTAAGGTCGTCTTGTAAAATTTCTATATCGTGCTGTGAAGTTATTGCCCTGCTTAGTTTTGTACCACCAGCAAACACTGAGATTGAGCTATTCATACCAAGCTCTATAGCATTTATGAATAAATTAAACAGAATTTGTCCCAGGACAGAGCCCCAGGATACCTCACTTACCACACCAATCTGAGTACATGTTAATCATCACAACCCTCTGGACGTGCCCCTGTAACCAGTTTTCTATCCACTAACAAACCCTATGGTCCCAGCCTACAGTCCTCAGTTTGTAAATTAGGGGTTTGTGGGGAACCAGATCAAATGCTTTTGCAAAATCCAGATACAGCACAACCACAGCCCTTCCTTTATCTCGGTGGCAGCTCACTTCCTCAGAGAATGTTAACCGATTGATTTGACAAGAACAACCCTTCGTAAAGCTATGTTGATTACTACTAGTGATACAGTTTTCCTCAGCAAATTCTTGTATATAGTCCCTTATCATCCCATATCGCATCCAATAGTTTACATATTATTGATGTTAGACTGATTTCTCTGTAAATTCGAGGTATATATCTCTGCCCTTTTTTAAATATTGGTACCACGTTGGCCCTTCACCAATCCATTGGTACCATTCTTGTCAGTCTTTCGGTCCATAAAAATTAGGAATAATGGTCTGGCTAGGACCTGCCTAAGTTCTTTGAGGAGTCTCAGGTGTAAGCCATTTGGTCCTGGTGATTTATTTGCATTAAGTTTTTTTCAAGTCACTGGCTTCTTTAAGCCACAAGGGTACACTCTGATGCATTACTAATGATACAGTCTTGATTACTATACTCCTCCTTTTCCTTTGTAAAAACTGGAGGTGAAGAATGTCTTTAGTTGTCTTCTCCTTGTCATTTATAACCAACTTCCCTTCACCATTCTTAATGTGGCCAATATGTTCCGTCCCCACTTTATTTTACTATTAATATATTTATATTATAAATATATAGAAATTATTGGGATTTTCAGGATTTTTTTTACTCTCCTCCACTATGCATCTCTCATGGTCTATCTTACTTGCCCTGACTGCATTCTTACATTTCTTATTACATTCCTTGTATTGTTGAAATGGCAGCAATGATCCCTTTGCTTTATATTTTTAAGGCTTTTTTTTCCTCTCGTTAATATGTATTTTCACATTAAAGTTTAGCCTCCCAGGTTTAATCTTAGCTGTTTTATAATTGCTGCTTATTGGAATACGCTGGCTAATATCTCTATTTAATATGTTCCTAAAGTACTCCCATTTTTTCTCAGTGTTCTATGTTTCTAGGGTTTGGTCCCATTTAATATCTTGTAGTATTGAGCATAGTTTAGAAAAGTTGTCTCTTAACCACTTCCCGACCGGCCGTTGTATATAAACGGCCGGACGATGGCAGTACAGGGTCGGGTGGCCGTTTATGAACAGCCTCCCCGGACCCTGCTTGTGCGCGCTCCCTGGGAGCGCGCAGCAGCACCGCGATCCGGTGCCCGCTGTGTCCTCCGGACACAGTGAAACACCGATCGTCGGACGGGACCTCTGTACGAGGTCCCGATCATGTGATCACTGATTGGCCAATCAGTGATCACATGCAAAGTAGTAAGCAAGATGTCACTTGTGACATCATTGCTTACTATGTGTGAAATCTGTGAATGATCACAGAGGTCACATGGTACAAGGCTATTCACAGCCTTGTACCATGTGACAAGCTGTGACCAATCACAGCTCACTCAGTATTTCTCAATGAGTGCAGGAATGCACACAGAGAGAGAGAAATGATTGCCTTTACATCCTATATGGGTATAAAAGCAATCAGTAAAAAAAAAAAAAAAAAAAATCTTCTTCATCACCCCCCACAAGTAGTACAGTGTCACCATGGTGAATTGTACTGCTAGGGTGACAGTATGTAAAAAAAAAATATATAAATAAAAAAATAAAATAAAAATGTAAAAAAAAAAATGTTTAAAAATTATAATTTTTGGTTATAAACTAATTTGTGTTTTTTTGCTAAAAATATGTATGATGAAATATTAATTTGCAAAATAAAAAAAAAAAAAAAAAAAAAAAGCAAAAGCAAAAACACTTTTGTTCAAAATATTTGGACTTTCATTACATAAAAAAAAAAAAAAAAAAAAAAAAAAATCCCAGTGGTGAATAAATACCACCAAAATAAAGCTTTATCGTCTCAAAAAAATGGTAAAAAAAAATTAATTTGGGACAATTGCGTTGTCATGATGCGCAACTGTACCCAAAGTGTGATAGCGCTGAAAGCTGAAAATTGCCCTGGTCAGGAAGGGAGTAAAAGTGTCCGGTCTGGAAATGGTTAAAATGTAGTGTTATTGCAGTACCCATGTGGCTCCTTTTCCTATGATTTATGTTGAATGTAATTATCCTATGAACGCTGCATTCCAAGTTGTTCCCCATTTCCACATCCACGACCAGATCTTTGTAGGTCTAACAATGCATTATGTCTAGTCAAGGCATCCATCAACTGGCACAAGAAATTGTCCTGTAGGATATTTAAGCAATGACAAGCCTTAAATGAATGAACTGGTCCTTCTGCCCAGTTAATATCTGGATAGTTGAAGTACCCCATTATGATGACGTTGCCCTGCCTCACAACCATTTCTACCTGTGACAGGAGGTCAGACTCCTCCTCATCCTTCAGGTTAGGGGGCCTGTAGCATATATACTATTTTTCCCCACTTGTTTCTTCTCTCTTTTCTGGGCGGTAGTAGATGGTTAAGGAGCAGATCAATGCAGTGGAGGCATCAGGGGGTCTAATCAACCCCTGATGTCTTAATAAGAATAACTGTCACCTGCAATGTACCATCAAAAAAAAAAAAAAAATAAAAAATGAACAGACCACTCTACACACACACACACCCCTAAGACACTTATGTACATACAGTAAATGCTTTTTTTGTAACACATTTTAGATATCACCACAAATGGTTTAGTAAAAAGAATACAATCAGGGTCATCACTCATGATTAACTATAACCTGATCAGCTGTAAAGGTTTTTAAATGTGTTATGCACAATTTTGGGTATCGACATTTCCTCACAGTTTTGCATGTGCATTGAATTTTGAGGCATCAATATTTGATATTTGTTTGCTTGAAATAGTCTCATCTGTTATATTTTACAAAAAGAAGAGAGATTATACTGTGTTTGTGCATACTAAAATTAATGTTGTATTTTAAAGATTAAACATTTGTGTGAATATTGTGCAATATCAAAAAATTACAACTTCTAACCCTTTATTTTTTAGGTCATCTCAGAAAATACACTGCTCAAAAAAATTTAAGGGACATTTTTTAATCAGAGTATAGCATCAAGTCAATTAAACTCCTGGGATATTGATCTGATCAGTTAAGTAGCAGAGGGGCTGTTAATCAGTTTCAGCTGCTTTGGTGTTAGTGAAATTAACAAAAGGTGCACTAGATGGGCAACAATGAGATGACCTCCAAAACAAGAATGGTTTTGCAGGTCAAGGCCATTGACATTTTTTCCCTACTCATGTTTTGACTGGTTTTCACTAGTTTTGCATTTAGCTAGGGTCAGTGTCACTACTGGTAGCATGGGGCGATACCTGGACCCTTCAGAGGTTGCACAGGCAGTCCAACTCCTCAAGGATGGAACATCAATACGTGCCATTGCAAGAAGGTTTGCTGCGTCTCCCAGCACAATCTCAAGAGCATGGAGGAGATTCCAAGGGACAGGCAGTTACTCTAGGAGAGCTGGACAGGGCCTCAGAAGGTCCTTAACCCATCAGCAGGACCGGTATCTGCTCCTTTGTGCAAGGAGGAACAGGATGAGCACTGCCAGAGCCCTACAAAATGACCTCCAGCAGGCCACTGGTGTGAATGTCTCTGACCAAACAATCAGAAACAGACTTTACGAGGGTGGCCTGAGGGCCCAACGTCCTCTAGTGGGCCCTGTGCTCACTGCCCACAACCATAGAGCTTGATTGGCATTTGCCATTGAACACCAGATTTGGCAGGTTTGCCACTGGCACCCTGTGCTTTTCACATATGAGAGCAGGTTCACCCTGAGCACGTGACAGATATGAAAGGGTCTGGAGAAGCCATGGAGAATATTGTGCTGTCTGTAACATCGTTCGGCATGGCCGTTTTGGTGGTGGATCAATGATAGTCTGGGGAGGCATATCCATGGAGGGACGCCCAGACCTACAGGCTAGACAATGTCACCCTGACTGCCATTAGGTATCGAGATGAAATCCTTGGACCCATTGTCAGACCCTATGCTGCTGCAGTGGGTCCTAGGTTCCTCCTGATGCACGACATGCCTGGCCTCATATGGTAAGAGTATGCAGGCAGTTCCAGCAGGATGAAAGAATTGATGCTATTGAATGGCCCCCACCCACTCGCCTGACCTAAATGCAATAGAACACCTTTGGGATATCATGTTTTCGTCCATCCTACACTGCCAGGTTGCACCTCAGACTGTCCAGGAGCTCAGTGATGCCCTGGTCCAGATCTAGGAGGAAATACCCCAGGACACCATCCGTTGTCTCATTAGGAGCATGCCCCCACGTTGTCAGGCATTGCATACAAGCATGTGGGGCCATAAAAACTACGAGTACCATTTTGAGTTGCTGCAATGAAATTTCAGCAAAATTGACTAGGTCTGCTGTATATCATTTTTTTTTTTCATTTTTGTGGTGTCTTTGAATTCAGTCCTCTGTAGGTTGATAATTTGCATTTCCATCAAACGATGGGCATCTTTATGTTCCTAACACATTACCCAGTCCATATCAGTATAGATATCCAGCATGATATTTTTCCCCTTTGAGATCTGATGTGGTTTCATTGTGTTTCTTTAATTTTTTTTTTGAGCAATGTATATATGGTTTGGGGGCTTTAAAAATATATTTCTAGCCAAAAAAAAAAAATTTTAAAAAAAAAAAATTTTAAAATGTGAAAAAAAAAAAAAAAAAGTGCCCATCAGTGAAAAGGTTTAGAATTGATGTTATATTTCAAACTCATAAAACCTGCCTGCTAAAGAATCTTCATTGCAGTTTACCAATCTTGCTGCTGCAGCAATTTTCAATGCAGTTTACATGCTCTATAATGCGACTGATGGATCTGGAGGGTAGAATACCAAATATGCTGCTATGGTTGCAGGCTTTCCAGGATCACAAACCTCACTGCAGATGGCACGGATACAATGATCAATTAAAAGCCAACAACTGGCATCCAAGGGACTACTCACCAACATACTCATCCATGTTAAAGGTTTTCACATATTTAAAGGAAAGATCTCCATTTTTATGGTATTCTATGAGCTTTTTGTAGCATCCCAGAGGTGTACTCCCTGTAAAAAACAAAAATCAAAAAAGGACAATTTAATAAAACTTTTCACACTGGCCTATAGAAATATGCTTCTCTGCACATTACAAATTCTATTGTTGTTGTGTGGGCAGTTAAATGGAACAAATCTAAGTGTATTTCCTAGGAAAAGGCCTTTCCCTTAAAATACTGTATGTGTTTCAAGATTGGCCTCTTCATATTTCTATTACATTAAACACTTAGATATGAGTTTAAAAAGAAAGAGTGACCCCTAGTTAATATAAGACTGTTCAGTAAACACCAGCTGGATTCTACTAACTCTTTACAAAGGCTTCATTCACATGGTCAGTGGTAAAAAATAGGCTCCTGAGAAGTGGTTTTGCCACCTCCCAGCAGCCAACCTACAGTGTAAAACAGGGCGCTATTCACATACTGCACACATGCTGCTTTGCTCCATGGAAAATTTAATACAGCATGCTGAGTTGACAGCAGCACCTGTCAAACTTTCCCATTGAAGTAAAGTGTGGCACTTGGCCATCCAAATGTTGTTGATACATTAGTCCTATTAAAAATTGCATTTTAACATAAAAAACACAAAGCAAAAAAAAAAAAAAAAAAAAATTATGAGCAGATTCCCCCATTCACACTCAATGGCAGCAGCACTGATAGTTCAGAAAAAAAAATCCCAACAGGTTGGTTGTACGAATGTCAACCAGTAGATCAACATCTTAAACCAGCCTGCCCATACATGATCGAAATTCGTCCGGTCCCTGTCAAACCGGCCAAATTTCAATTATGTATAGCTGCCTTTAGGCTGTCATATAAAAGGAAAGAAACAATGTATTCTCAGGCTGCTGATTGTGAGCAAACTTTTAGAGCCATACATTTAACAATAAACATGTAAATGGAGGATGAGCTTTCCTGTTTGATATAAGTCTGTACACAAAGAGTACAGATAACTCATTGGAAATATAGGGTCATGTAAACAGGAGATCTGAATCATTAGGTCCTACAGGAAAAGAAAGGGAAAATGTCAAAGGTCATATCCACAGAAAAGCTGCATGAATTATGGAAAGCAGCAAGTGTGTTTTAAAACTGCATTTTGCCTTTAATGTAAGGATGGACAAACAAGGTGGCAGGTTCAGTTCTCTCCCCACCACGTCACAGAATGTAAAACAAGTTAGATCCCGCAGTATAAAGTAAAAACAAGATTTAAAAAGAAGTATATACTAAAGAACAAAATAAAATACTTAATTCTATACTTGTAAATGTGATTATTAAAAGATATAATGCCCTGTAAGAGTAAATTGAATGTGAATAGTAATGAGTGACCACTGTGCAAAATACTAGCCAGTAACAGATTTTTTTTTTTTTTTTTTTTTTTAATTCCAGAATACGTAGTGCTTGTTTACATGCCTGCGTGCACAAGTACATTGTAAACAATGGGCTGCATTTTAGATCAGTAAAAAAAAAAACAAAAAAAAAAAAAACCCGCTGTACTGAGTATATTAAACTGCAGTGTGCAAGAGGTCTTAAACAGACTTCAAGCAATGTTCTCTGTAAAAAGTATGCAGAAGAAGTTCTCGAAAAGGAGAATTTAAATAATTAAAAATGTAAAGTGTATCACATTTTCAGAAAAAAAAAAAAAAAAATAATATTTGAACTCCCAATACCAACCCCCACCCCCTGCTGCACTTACCTCCATGGGTGATGCAGTTTCACCATTCACACAGCCTAATGCAGCAATCCTGGGGTATGAAAACCGCATTTGTCACTCTCTTCTTTCCCTAGGAATGCAAGGATAGATTAGAGTGGTTCTGATTAGTGAGCTCGGTCGGCCAGCATTGACCAATCAGAACCACCCTGATCCATCCAGGCATCCCTAGCCACTTGCCCTCCAGAGGATTTACCCTCCTTCCTAACCAGGCCATTTTGTGCATTACGGTGCTGTGTTAATTTAACTGACAATTGTGTGGTCACGCAACGCTGCACCCAAATTAATTTTACCTCCTTTTTTTTCCCCCACAAATAGAGCTTTTTTTGGCGGTATTTGATCGCATGTGCGTTTTTAAATTTTTGGAGCTAAAAACAAAAAAAGACTGACAATTTTGAGAAAAAAAATAATATTTTGGACTTTTTGCTATTAAACCTGTCAAAAAAAAAAAAAAAAAAAAAAAAAAAAAAAAAAACAACTAATTCCAGTATATATACCGCCATTATAATGTTAAATTCATGTACACGTATTGGGATTTTTTTTTTTTTTTTTTTTTTTTTTAGCAGACATGTAGCAGAATACATTTTGGCCTAAATTTATGATGAATTTTTTTTTTATTTTTTTTTTACTAGTAATGGCGGCGATCAGCGACTTATAGCGGGACTTCTGCGGGCATTCTGACACTGGGGGGAACTGAGTTGGTATCACTGACACCTTAATCAGTGCTAATAAAAAGCACCGACACTGTACTAATGGCACTAGGCAGGAAGGAGTTAACCTGTGGAATGAGCAAAGGGTTACCTGTGTGCTGTTTTACTGTGCGAGTGCTTTCCACTGTAAGCACACTGCTTTGTATGGCTCTGCTATGCAGAGCCATACAAAGCAGTGTGTAGGAGCTGACAGGGGAGAGATCTGTGTTGTTTATGCAAAGGTCTCTCCCCCATCGGAGAGACTCGGCGATCACCAGGTGCCGGCGAGTAATCACTGACCAGCAGCAGAGGCCGCAAAAATCACATATTATATATATTTATATATGTGATTTTGTGCATCCGTTCCACCCTGTAGCAGTATTTTTGCTATAGAGTGGAGGGGACACGGCTAGGGAAAGAAGATAAAGAGCAGCTGGTTTTTCAAATCCCAGGATCATTGTACCTGGCTACATAAAACTGTATCACCCATAAAATGCTGTCAACTCAGAAACCAAAAGGGCAAGGCAGTTCCCAGTGTGGGAAGCTGTACAGAGGTTTCCAGTGTGGGATGCCATTAGGATTAATAGCACCTTCACGCATCTCTTGAGCAGCAGCATGATTTTCTGTGCAGGTGGTTGCGGCTGCGGGGAACAGGTGTGGTCCCGCAGCAGCAATCACCTGCACAGATGTGAACCTAGCCTTGACTGGTAAACAAATATTCTTTCTATATATTTATGGGTAAATATCAGTTCTCATGCCATCACATGACCTTTGTTGAAACACATCACCAAGCTATGGACTGTACTGTTTTGGCTCCCCCATGCTTCAATAACAGGGCACTGAAGGGTTTTTGGTCACACATTTTTGTCCTACCAGAAGTACTAATAATGTAATCTTGTATACATATATTTTCATATTTTTGCAATATATTAAACTGCACTAAGATAAGTAAAAGTTTTTTTTTTTTTGCATCTGCACAATAACAAACCACTATCATATTGCAATTTGTTTGGGTTTGGGAGTGGGGGGAGTCAAGAATTGCAGCACGATAGGAAGTCCTCAGAAAGGACTCGTAAAAGGCACAATCAAACTGAGAAGCAATCAGCAATCACCAACTATACAATGAAGTTTCTTGCCAATGAGGAAAAATCAGAAATCAGGATGATGGCACTTCTGCTTACATCAGTACTCGTACAGAGTAAGCACTGTCCATTTACATCATGAATACAGATTAAGCTGAAGTGTGGGATCCCCATGGAAGCTGGAAATTACAGAAGTAGGCACTGCTTATACAGTTGTGTAAAACGTAGTCAAGAACCGTGAGACTAAACATAGCAAATCCTTCATTTATATTTTAGTAGGGGTAAAAGTTCCAGTACACATAAAACAGCTCATGAGTTTCAGCCCATAAGGGCCTTAACTACTTGCCCTCCAGAGGATTTACCCCCCTTCCTGACCAGCGATAGGGCGCTGCGTTACTTTAACTGACAATTGCGCGGTCGTGCAATGCTGCACTCAAATTAAATTTAAATCCTTTTTTACCCCACAAATAGAGCTTTCTTTCGGTGGTATTTGATCATTTTTTTATTTTTTGCTATAAACAAAAAAAAGACCGACACATTTGAAAAAAAAAAAAAAAAAAAAAACCCAATATTTTTTACTTTTTCCTATAAAACAACCAGTCAAAAAATTTTTTACAAATCTAATTTCATCAGAAATTTTGGCCAAAAGGTATTCTGCTACATGTCTTTGCTAAAACAAATCCCAATATGTGTAAATTAAATGGTTTATGTGAAAGTTATAGCGTCTACAAATGGCGTTATAGATACTGGAACTTTTATTTTATTTTTTATACTAGTAATGACAGCGAATTATAGTGGGACTGCGGTGGGAATTCTGACACTGGGGGGGGGGGGGGGGGGGGGGGGGGGGGAAACTGACTACCACCCCCAGTGACACTAATACAGTGATCAGTACTAATAAAAAGCACTGACACTGTACTAACGACACTGGGCAGGAAGGTTTAACATCTGGGGCGATCAAAGGGTTAACTGTGTGCGGTTTATGGTTTACCAGGGAAACAAGCTGCTTTGTATTGCTCTGCTATGCAGAGCAATACAAAGCAGCCTGTTCATGCTGTCAGGGGAAAGATCTGTGTTGTTTACATACAGACCTCTCCCCTTTCACTGTTCCTTGGTGATCAGCGGGTGTCAGCAGGAAATCTTCAGCTGGGACCCGGTGATCGACAGCTGTAGCCGCCAATGACACACACACACACACACACACACACACACACACGATTTTGCGCAGCCCTGCCACCCTGTAGCAGTAGTTCTGCTATAGGGGCGTCGGGAAGCAGTTAATCATAGCTGTTTTGGGTCCTGTGTCGAGCGGCTGCCATTAGGACAATTCAGAGAACACTTTGCATTTTCTCAGTGAATGCAGGGTTCTCTGACTGGACTAGGTGAAGATCACAATGTCACTGTCAATGAGAAAATCTAAATTCCCTGAATGGCACTTGTGCCTACCTTATGTGTTCACAATACACCAGGGAAACTGCTCAGCACAGGACCTGAAAGGTAGTGGAGATCACTGGAGTAGCGGTTCTTACAACAATGATTTCCAGCATTGACTGTGATCCCACAGGTATGGCACATACCTACTTACATTGGTGTACTCTGGCAAGCTATGTAAGAGTTGCTATACCTAAACTTCAGCTTTATACAGTTTTTCAGATGGTCTCCCACCCCTTATAATCTTCAGTTTAATATGAATTTCCACATCTCTGTAAGTGAACAGGAGAGGAAAGTTAATATATTTTAAGTGATACACGTGTGATAAAGCAGCATACCTGTAGGTAGACCCAGTGTAAAGTATTTCTCAGCATTTGGATTAAAATGAATGATGCGATTCCGAATGTACTTTGCCGCCCACTCGCTGGCCTGGTCATAATCATCCAAAATGATGAGTTTCATTTTATCTGCAGAAACATGAAGAACAAAGACTGTGCAAATCAAAGTAGTACACTCAGTGTCCGAACATGGGTCTAATTTATGTAAAAAGGAGAAATGCCCTCAGACCTTTAACTTGTTTGAAAAGCCTGTGCCTTCCATAGCATCCACATTCCAAATGTCATTTTTTCCAGTGTAGGTTGAAAGATACATTTTAAACTTTTCGGCAGGCAATGTAGTTCTCAGGCACAGTAAATGAGCTTATACACAGGCAACAGCACTGATCTGTATACAGTCAAATTATTTATATATCAGAAACCAAAATGTAGAAAAAAAAAAAAAAAATATTCACATACATGGGGATAGGAATGCCAGTTGGCCAAACATCAGATTAGGAAACTGCCATATATGCCACAAACCGATTGATTTTGAAGAAAAAAAAATATATTGCTCTAGACCAGTGGTCTCCAAGCTGCGACCCTTTGCTTGCCTTTGTATAGCCCTTGAGGAATTATTCCTGCCACTGACACCACCAATGGGGAATAATTCCTGCCACTGGCACCAATGGGGCACTATTTCTCCCCCCAATACCAAAGATGGGGCATTGTTTACTACAGCTGGGCAGAGTCCGGATCCTAAAGTCTGAAGGACAGTAAACTGGCCCTTTGTTTAGAAAGTTTGGAGACCCCTGCCCTAGATGGATTTTACAGGCTGATCACTACTGCACTGCCTTGATAAGGCCAGCACTGGGGTATTTAAGCAGGTCATAAATATGCATGCTTGGCAGGTGCAATTGTACATCTTTCTTAGGCCACATCATTTAGAAGATCCAACCAATGTACTAAGCTAGTGTTTTACCTTTGGTGTATGTGCATAGAAACATTTTCATTCTGCTAAAGACTAAACCTGGCCAACACACACATAGATTTCTTTTGTTCTGTTTGCAGGCTGAACAAAAGAAATTGAAAAGCTTCCTCCATCCTATCTCCCATCGCGGATATTGCATTTTTAAAGCCAGAGCCGCCAGCTGTCACAATACAAGAACAGCGCCTGCTTCTGATCCGATACAAGCACTGTTCAGTTATCAATTTTCAACCGACTCTTTCGACAAAAGATGAATGAAAAAATTACTTATCTAGGCGTTACCGACAGGGCCACCCATTAAACAAAAATTCCAACCATGCATGGCCAGCCCAAAGTGTACCTATAGTCAAAATGTAAAATCGTATATTAAGTTCCACATTGCATTTCAGTTATTTCTAGCTTTCCCCTATTACTCTGAACAATCTTTGAGGTTTGTATATTTACTTTGTGAAGATCCATGCATACACTGGAAAAAATGCTGGATAAAAAGAGCTGGTAACAGGTTTTAGTAGCATTTTTACAGTAAGTGTACAAAAAAAAAAAAAAAAAAAGTTAAAACCGTTTTAGTCTGCTGGAAAAACGCTACAAAAACAATTTTTTTCTGCTCCTAGATGCTGAGGCTCACAAAATGCTAATAGCCTAAAGTAGTGTCCATGAACACATTGGGCTTGATTTACTAAAGGCCAATAGGTTGTGCACTGAAAGTGCAGTCACTATAGATCTGAGGGGAACATACAAGGAAAATAAATAAAAACAGAATTTTTGCTTGTACGATTGGATGAAAGAAATCAGCAGAGCTTCGCCACGTTTCAGAGCTTCCCCTCGGATCTAAAGCAACTGCACTTCAAATTGCACAGCCTATTTGCCTTTAATAAATCAACCCCATAGGATAAAACTCTTTAGCTTCTAGGAGCAGAAACAAATATGCTGATAACAGCTTCTAGAGAAGCTTAAAAAAAAACAAAAACAAAAAAACACTAGTGTGCATGGAGCCTAACTTCCTTGACTTCTGTGACACATACTCACTGCTGTGTCACAGAATTCACAGAGCCTGCATTCAGAACTACAGAAGTGCTGTACTTTCAGGATGTGGAGTCAGTACAGGAATCACCGCTTGCAGGCAGCAAGATACCATTGGATAGGTCAGTCTTCAGAAAGAAAAAGCAGGGAATCCCTGGAAATTATAAAGAGATAACCAGCAGAGAGGCAGAACTCACAACATGAAAGGAGGTTTTTCAACCTAGCAATAAGTCCTCATGTACGCTGGATGTTTTGATAACGCTGGTAATGTTAGCTGTGTAAAGTCACAATAAAAACATGAGTTTTCAGCATTTATGCATTAGCGTTTAGTGGTGTTATCCTGCGTTTGCTCTTTTTTTTTTTTTTTTAACCAGCAAAAAAAAAAAAATTTGGGGGGGGGGGGGGGGGGGGTCAAAAAAAGTCCAAAAACGCAGGTTTGCTGCATTTTACAGCATTAGAGCATTTTTACAGCTAAAAAACTCCTCTAGAAACCCACTAGTTCTGGGTTTATGTGTGCATGGACACATAGGACAACATGCTGGGGTGTTTACTAGCTGTAGAAAAAAAATGTCAAAAGCCAAAAACAGCCGCTGTAAAAACGTCCAATGTGCGTGAGGACCAAAACTGATGAGCTACTGGTGAACGGAGTACACATTCAAAGGGAACGGAAAGACTCCGTAGGTGCAGTGAGAGGAAACACGAATGAGTAAGTGGAAAACTATCTTATTTTTACAAATGTAAGTATTTCTTTATGAAAACATACTAGTAATTTTACGTTTTACTAAACCCACAAGTAAAAACCATATAGTGCTGGGGGTGTCAGTCCTTACCACTTTGCTGTGTAGCTTTTGTCTTAAAGTGTTACTTTATCCGGTCTCCCACAGTACACACAACATGGAAATGCAATTATTTTAGTAAATATAAACTGCTAAATACCTTTTGTCATCAGTAGTTGGAGCAGTCTTGTGACTTCTATCGGTGTCCAGAGGAGCACTGGTTAAAGCTTTTAGGAGGAGATTTCATTCTCCCCTGGTTGCCCTAAGAGGCTGCAGGACCCCTAACCCTCTGTCTGGACAGTGCTGATTGGCCCTGTGTTGATCACATGCACCCTCCCAAGATTTAAAAAAAAAAAAAAAACAAAACCTCTAGCAATACACACCAAACTGAGCATGTGTAGCTTGCCCCCAAGGCTCTGTTCTATCAACAGATGGATTGGTGACAGTAGAGGAAGGGGAGGATCAGAGCAGACAGGATCAAACATCCTTTTTACACAATGCAGAGGATTAACCCCTTAGGTTCCACAGTGAGTATAACAAGCATGCTTTACTGCATATACAGACTGATTTTACTGTTGTGGGTTTACGAACACTTTGGCTGTAGTTGCTTTGCATTCATTCTATAAGGCAGGGTTCACACTTCTCGCAGTGGAAAAAAGTTCTGTATATCTCTACGGGTAGTGATCACAGCTGGAAAGCAGTGTCTTGCATTTTTACAATACAAGGCACGGTTTCGGTTTTTTTTTTCTTCTAAACTTTAATGGAATGTCACAAAGTGACATTCCATTCATTTCTATACATGGCACCTCAGCTCCCGTGCATAGAATTGCAAGGGCATGCAGACTGCTGTGGAGCAATGCAAAAAATTGCAACATCACATTTTTGCAAGTGCAGATATAGAGAGCTGCGTTTTTCTTTTACAAAAAAAAAAAAAAAAAAAAAAAAAAAAAAGGAGCTCTGTTATAGTGTGAACCTGCCTTAAAAAATTTAAAGTGGAACTTCACTCTCATCAACATTGACTATTTTGAATCCCTATGCTGTTAGCATTAGTAAATGGACAGGAACGTATACCATATTTACTTGTTTTTAGAACTTTGTTTTAAATTTCTTCAATTACTTCCTGGTTTCCATACTTGGGATGAATGATCTCATACATCCCAGGAGTCTTCAGGAGGGGGGTTTCTCAGCTAAGCACACACTTCTGCCTGCATGCCTGAGCTAAGGGCAGATGGATTCCAGGAAGTAATTGCTACATGAATCATCTGCCCTTACTCAAGATGGCCATGGCCAGTAATGCTAGGGGGTGTTTTTCTAAGTGATTTCTCAGCAACATTAAGCATGGACACATGGATGGATAGGTGAGTTTGCTTTGAATATTACAAGTGAATTAAATCGTGTTCTTGGCTTGTGGTGCTGATATTCAGTGTAGTTCCACTTTACCTTTTTATACTTTTTACTCTACTTAAAGCCCATAATTAGGTGTACCATGCTCCAATGAACTCACCTCCCACCACCAGTACTCCCCTCCCTATGACAGCAGGCAAGGGTTCTTCTCCTTGCACCCGTATCACAAATTAAAAACAGTGCAGCCGTGTGGGGCTCCACCCACATGGCTGCGTTATTCATTCACAGATTCCTTTGAATGAATAGACTACAAGACCGTCAGCCATTGTGGCTAACAGCTTGTAGTTCACAATGAACTGTGAGGGTACTGGTGAGCGCTCTTTTAGTTCATAGATTCTTCCTGCCATTCAGGAACCGCATGCCTGTATCAGAGGTATTGGCAGCCAGCTAACCTGAGAGTCTGCAGGAGCCTTGCATTGCACCCATTATCTGGTGTTTCAGGTACAATGCTTTATAAGCTACAATGTGTAAAAATATAATAAGTGCGCATTTTATTTTTAACCTGTAAAAAGATGAGCATTTAGTTTTTGTGTAAAAAAAAAAAAAAAAAAAAAAAAAAAAAAGAAGGTGAACTTATCCTTTAAGTAGCTCCTTTTACTGCTCTACTCAACAGACACCTCATAGAATTTCCCCATGATCACTTGGCAATAGCTGGCAGTGTTTTTGAGTGGTGGCCTAAGCAGATTTGTGAACTAACTTTTGCCTTAAAGGATAAGTTCACCTTTTAGCAAAAAATAATAAATTTGTTTCTGGAGGCTCTAAAGCAGTGATCTCCAACCACAGCCTGAGAGCCGTATGTGGCCCTTTGTTTGCCTTTATCAGAGCCTTGGCGCATTGTTCCTCCCACTGTCAGCATCAGTGTGGCTTAGTTCCTGCCACTGACAATAAGAAACTATTCTTCCCACTGACACCAATGATGGGGCACTATTGATACTAATAATAGGGCTCTATGACTCCCAT